TGTTAATCAATTTTATATTTGATAAGTGTAGAATTGCTCAAATCACTAAAAATTTCTTACCCAGGCATAGATGACCTCGGCTAATTTTGAACAATTCTTCAGTATTTGTGGCCATTACCCTCCTACTTCTTACTTGGGTTGGCCATTCAACTGTCTTGATTATAACGCTCCTGACGACTATAAGCGACGATAAACGAATCTTGCATGAAAATATTTAACATTGTACCTAAAATGAGACTTTTTTAGGTTTTCGTGTTGCTGTATTTGTTTTTCTATGTAGTGTTTTTTTAATTTATGTTTGTCGTTTTGCGTTTATGTTATTGGTTTTTTGTTTGGTTTTTTTAGGGGGTTGGGGTTGGTTTTTTTTAGGCGTTGTCAGTTTTTCATCGACTTATGAGATAATAGTTATCAAAAGTACAAGGATTATAATTAAATACGCCAGACGCGCTTTTCGTCTACACGAGACTCATCAGTGACGCTCAGATCAAAATAGTTATTAAGCCAAACAAGTACAAAGTTGAAGAGCATTGAGGACCAAAAATTCCAAAAAGTTGTGCCAAATACGGCTAATGTAATCTATGCCTGGAATAAGAAAATCCTTAGTATTTCGAAAAATTCATACTTTTGTAAACAGGAAATTTATAAAAATGACCACATAATTGATATTCGTGTCAACACCGAAGTGCTGACTACTGGGCTGATAATACAGTCGGGGACGAAATATCGTTTAAATATGTTCAGCATCCTTTTTTAATTCTTCATACTTATGTACAAAATTACAAAAAAAATCTGTAATCTTTCAAACTTTTGTTGATTCTTGATACATGAGGAAGATGATACTGTTCTATCATGAAGGACATACATTTTGTTTATGCTATCTGACGGAGACAGCTCTGGCCTACTCATATGTCTCAATTTTTTATGTCATCTGACGACAAGATACGGCTGTTATCGTTATTTCTGGTAGCAACTTTTAACCCGTTTGATAATTTTGCTTTAGTGACTGTCACAGAGAGTCGATATCTGGGCAATTGACTGTGACGGTAACGGTTAAAAAGTTGATACCAGGGCAACTACTTGTAAAAGAGGGGCAAAGATATCAGAGGGACAGTCAAACTCATAGATCGAAAATAAACTGACAACGCCATGGCTAAACAAGAAAAAGACAAACAGACAAATAATATTACACAAGACACAACATAGAAAACTAAAGACTAAGCAACACGAACCCACCAAAAACTGGGGGTGATCTAAGGTGCTCCGGGAGAGAAAGCAGATCCTGATCCACATATGGCACCCGTCGTGTTGCACATGTTATTACAAACCCAGTAAATAGTCTAATACATGTAAATTGTTCGTATATTAGCACGTGCCAATAATATTAGTATACAGATAAACAGAATATGCAGTGTGAATTTGGTAACTATCAATAAGTATCAATACGAGGTGCTGATGAAATAATAAAATTAAAAAAAAACGCCGATTAAAAAGAATTTGTAAATTACTGAGATTTTTTCAAATGTGTTTCTTTTGTTCTATTTTAAGCCTAGAAGTCATAAATTTGTCAAATAGTAAATTGTTTGTAAATGTAACAAGACCACCAACACCCTGTCAAACTATGTTTATTATCGATTTTAGTTCAAAAAATGTAAATACTATAGTATGGAACGCTACACCTGTCTTATGTGGAACTCTGATACTACGTTATGTTGTTTTATTATTACTTACTTATATTTTGTCTTTACATAATATGGTTTGATATTACTTTATGATGTTTTGATATAATTTCAACTCAAAATCTTAATCTAAATGAGACACAAATTCCAGTCTTACTCAAACTCTACCTTAAAAGGTGACTCAAATTTAAAGTTGAAGTCGAATTGTAACCTTTTAATGTGACTCAAACTCGAAATTCAACTCGAAACTCAATGCTATAAATTGAACTTTAATTCTAATAATGGTTTGAATTTTAACTCGACATCGGTGACTAACTCAAAGTTTAACTCGAATAGTAACCAAAATTTTAATTTGAATCTAACTCGATGGATGGCCACACTCCAAGGCACATAAAATATGAGGGTCGTAATTGGGGTACCTTCATGACGAATAACGGTAAAAGTTCTTGCCAAATGAAGTTAACGGTAATTTTTGGTGTATGACGATAAAATGTACACTTCCTTTTAGACGAAAAAAACATCGACTGATTTTGACGAATGACGTTAATTTTTTTTCCAAAAAATGGCGGTACCGATAATTATTTGAGACCTCTGACGAATCACGATAAGGATATTTTTACGAATCACGGTAAAATTTTCACCAATTTGACGATAACAGTAGCCGAAATGACTGTTTTACGCCTGACGTTAAAGGACATTACTACCCTCAAATATGGACATCTATTAAAAAATAATACTATTTTTTTTTGTCCGAATTGGTCACGTGGTTTCACGTTTTAAGTAATGTGATAACCACTCCAAAAAGAATGACAGGACCACACCAAATATTGAAACAAACACATCATGTAGAGTAAAATCGGCAAATTTTGAAACATCATTACGTAATTTTAAAGCCATATAAAGAATTGGAAAATCATCATTACGAAATAATAAAACCACATCATTTAATGAAACAACTACATAATGTGAAGTCACATACACATCAGGTAATGTTAAATCCACATTGTGTAATGACACAACCACATTACATTATGGTGAAATCACATCGAGTAATTACCAAACCATATCAAGTAATGAAAAAACTATTGCAAGTCAATACGGAACCATATCGTGTAATATCGAAATATCATTAAATAATAACTATTCCATTTTGAGCTTTATCAAAACATCATTATGTAATGTCAAAATCATATTATATAAAGACAAAATATCATCAAGTAATGATAAAACAACATGACGTAATATCAGAGTTCAACATAAGACACTTGTGGCGTTCCATACTATAGAATATCATTTTCAGTATTGATTTTAAAGGTGTTATTTCTGTAGGGTGACTTTCTGGAATGCATACGTTTAAGAAAATATCTATTCCTCGATAGGCAACAAAGTACATTGAATGGATATTAGCTTTAGTGAATGGGTGTTGTTTTAGAACAAAATCTAATTATTCGGAAAGAATGTAATTTTAATACAAATACATATTATCTTGCAACTTAGAAATATCACTTAACATGAGGCATTATAATTATCAAAAATATCTGGAATGCTTAGGAAAATACAACTACTTTATAGATAATGCATATTTTCATGTTATCTTGACCCCAAGGTGTGTTATACGACAAGAAATCCCATGAAATAAGCATTATCTGACCTATGTACTGTATATTTTCTGCTAAGAATTGCTGGGAACTGCATCTCATTTAACCGATCTTATTCTTTTGTACGCGTTTATGTATCACCAAACGGCTAAACTACAAAAAAAAACCAAAAAAAAACTCACTAATCTAGATATAAAAGTTAGTGATCTTCATACAAGGAAAAAAACAGTATGTTCAGTTAATGGAAAATGCAACTGATTTATTATATAAAGTTTTAAACAATAATGCTGAATGCATCATTTTTTATTCCTACAGGGTGGAACAGTAATAGGAATCCTTGTAGGAATTTATTGCGGATGTATTGTGTTTGTAAATAAGGTCATGTGAATGGCCCACAACTGCCGTATGAAGCTATATTTTTTTGCAAAAGATGAGTCTACAATGATTTGAACTACGAAAGCTTCTAATATCTAACCTGGTATCAATTTATTACCAGTAAAAGGTGTGTTTAGTCAAGCAGCTAAGTCAAATTTTTCATCAGAATTCTGCAAAATGTGGTAAAAGCATCAAACTTGGTATATAAGCTCCTAACACCATTCTAAGCAAAATAAGATATGGCGCCAACCTGAAAAAAGCAACTTCCGGTTTTTTCCAAGATGGCGGACAAAATTGCAAAAATTCTAAACTTAATATCAAAGAAACCGTACACAAGGTGGTAAAACAATGAAACTTTGTATATTATCTCTTAAGACCCTTCTAAAACAAATAAAGATATGAAACCAATATGAAAAAATATCAACTTCCGGTTTTTTTCAAGATGGCGGCCGAAATAACAAAAATTTGTAAGGGTTTCGCGGAACCCAGTGGCTCGCCTACTTTTGCTGTTTGTCGCAGGCTCAACAAAAATGAGGAAAAATTATTAAAAATTTTCCTCTAGATACTATCTTTTGATTGTAAGAAGTTCTGTTCAAGTTTGGTAAAAAATCCAAGAAGGTTTATGAATCTAATAAATGTTTCAAAAACTTTAACTGCAGACTGTAAGTAATGTTTACTGGAATAAAACTAAGTCCATTTATAAGTAATATACGGAAAAACAGGAAATAAATTTTTACAAAATTTCCTTCTAGATACTAGCTTTGATCATTAACATGCTTCTGTCTAAGTTTGGTACAATTCCAGGACAGTTTTAGAAAGTTATTAAAATTTTTAAAGCTTTAACCACAGAGTGAAAGTAATGTTAACTGGCAGAAAAACTAAGTCCATTTATAAGTAAAATACGGATAAACAGGATTTTTTTTAACAAAATTTACTTTTGAATACTATCTTCTGATCACAAACAAGCTTTTGTCCAAGTGTAGTACAAATCCAGAATAGTTTAAGAAAGTTATAAAAATTTGAAAAACTTTAACCACAGAGTGAATGTAATGTTAACTGGCAGAAAAACTAAGTCCATTTATGAGTAAAATACGGATAAACAGGATTTTTTTTTACAAAATTTACTTCTGGATACTATCTTATGATCATAAACAAGCTTCTGTCCAAGTTTGGTTGAAATGCAGGATGGTTTAAGAAAGTTATTAAAATTTCAAAAACTTTAACCACAGAGTGAATATTTGTGGACGCCGCCGATGACGACGACGACGACGCCGACGGAATGTAGGATCGCTATGTCTCGCTTTGCGACAAAAGTCGCAGGATCGACAAAAATGATGAAACAAGTCAAAAGGACGTTGCAATATTTACAAAAAAAATAAATATCAAATGAGTACAATTGAAAGTAATATATATATATATACAGTAGCTGTTATATACAATAAGACGTTCATTCATCCTGTTTGTGTCGGTAAACTCTATACTCTGCAGTACATTAGGCAGAATCTCCACCACACTCGCCTAAAGCTGTACACGGAAGAGCGGATTTGAAACCCTTGCACTGTTCTCGACAACCTTTCTTGCATCCACAGTGAACAAGCTCTGTAGTGGAGAGGCTGCCTCTGCCAATATTGTCCAGAACGGGTTCTTACATGCCGTTGTCTTGCTTCTTCCACCCATACAAGTCTGGGGATGGAAGAACAGGCTGTAAAAGCAAACACTGCATCCAAATCAATCCAGCTTGGTACACAGAACGTGTGGTATTTTGGTAAAGTGCCTCTCTTGTTGGTGGTACAGACTCGATTGATCTACCTTTATGTGCCAAGAGTACTTTTCTAGCTTCATTTACACTGTTTGATTCACTTGTCCGATGGTACAAAAGAACAACATATCGCTCCAGCAATGATAGAATTGAATCACGGCATACTGTGGATTCACTTATTTTCGTGGGTACCAATTTTCGTGGATTAAGGAAAACTAACATGTTCGTGAATATTTAATTTGGTTGCATCTGTTTGTGAAAAAAAAACAAAGCCTTTTTGTTTTCGTATAAATTGATAGATATATATTGAAACATTATTCAAAACCCTGCATGATGCGGAAAAATATGACAATTGAGAGGTTTAGCTAGCTATAAAACCAGGTTTAATTTACAATTTTCTACATAAGAAAATGCCTGTACCAAGTCAAGAATATGACCAAAGCTATTCATTCGTTTGGTGTGTTTGAGCTATTGATTTTGTCTCTTGTTTACAGTCTTTCCATTTTGAACTTTCCTCGGAGTTCTGTATTTTTGTTATTTTACTTTTTGTCAATATAATGGAATTTTATAAGACTGTCATACAAGTGAGAGGTTTAGCTAGCTATAAAACCAGTATTAATCCACCATTTTCTACATGAGAATTGCAACTGATTTTCACAGTTTGTATTATGTTTTGCCGTTATTGTATTGGTTTTACGTTAATTGGTTTGTTGTAAATTAGTCCTCCAGTTTTTTCGTTTTATTTGTTTCACATATTCAAATGTCGGAGCCTTTTTTACCATGTAAACTGAATAGATTTCTCTCCATGTTGTATGCCGATTGGTGGTCTGCGATTGCTTACAATCACTTTATTTCAACTCTATTGGATAGTTGTCTCATTGGCATTCATATCAAATCATCTCTTTGTATATTAACAATTCAAATATAGGTCACATCGTTTATTTTTTCGGAAATTTCTGTATCTTCGATCAGTTTGGACCCCGTATATCAGATGTTGGTTATGATCACATTTTGCTTCATTGTATAACTGTATTTCACACATTGGCAATGCAAATAACGAGATTGAACTTCAGTCAAGTCAGAAAATTGTCGTCTCAAATCATTATAAATGTGGACGCGAAAATAAATTTACAAAATTCTCCTTCTTAAAAGTTAACAAATTTATCAGCTTTTGGCTTTAGTTCAACACATTCAGACGACACTGTCAGTGAACCTTAAGTTGTTTTGACAACAATATGGCCAGAGATACATAAAAACAAAGCAATACATGACATGACAAATCATCACTTCGAATTGAATGATGTAAAGTGCTTAAGAAATTTGAATTGATCGTCGACTGGGTGGTTCTAAGTTGGCTTCAAGTTTTTTCCAAACTAGCGACAAAATATGGCAGCTCGCAATAGTTTTGACTCTAACACATTTTTTTCAAAAATTGCTGTTAAATGAATATTCGTCTGAAACAGTCATTAAAATCGTAGCATCATCTGAAAAGTCAATTCGGTACTGTTCAGTAGCTTTTCGTGCAATTCAGTATGATGTTGATGTGTAGATGTAAATAACAGATACTGAACATTCTGAACGTATCTTGATTAAAAGTAAGCAGAGTGTATTAACATTACTGAATTAAGCGTACGGAGTAAGACGAACAGTTCAATGAAAGACTGAAAATAACTTAATGATTTGTTGTTTCACTATTGTTCAAATCTTAATGACCGTGTCAGATCAAAATTGGCTTACTAGTGATTTTCATGTCTGAATGCTGGATATCATTCTGGAAGCATTTATCAGGTTAAAATATGCTGGATATTATTAGATGCAATATTATGAAATAGTATGTAAACATATGCATTTTTATTCTCATAACTTCATAACTTAAATGAAGATGCATGAATACAAAATCCTTTGGCTCACTTATATGTGCCGTCTGAGTTTTTGAGTCTTGATGGAAGTTTACTAGTGATATATTTCTCAATTATCATTACAAAGGTTAATGGCGGAAAAAGATACAAGTAAATAAGATATCAAAGAAACATAATACGCGACATCTAGCAATCAAAAAAATGGTCCTGAACAACAAAAATTAATAATTTTAATAGACTTAAGATCAGTCACTTCACTTGGTTTTTTTTAATATTGAGCTGTTACTCATTCATATCATATGTATCTATGTAGAGGGCGAATCATTCGATATAAGTTAGAGTTTTGTAAGGTTGGTATTGGTGTAGTTCATTTATCAAGTTTAACGGCTAGTCATCAAAAACGTTTAGTCTTTTGGTGTCAATTTTTCTACAATATGTTATTCTTATCACAATACAAATGTTTGAAATATTTTAACGTGTCATTTCCCTTTAATTATGAAAACATATTTCATATACTTTATACTCTATACTCTTTTTATGGGGGCATTTAGAATATCAAATGACGTTTTGTTAACATATAATCCACACATATTATATATTGTCAAGTGCAGAGCTATTTTTAATGACTAATGCTAATGGCATATCACATTTGGGCTACGCGTGACGTCATTTAAATTCAGTAGCGCATCGTTAGGAAAAGGTAAAATGCATTATTAATGTGAAAATCAGTATATTCCAAGGCCTACCAAAAAGGGTCCTCAATGCTCTTCAACTATGTACTTTTTTGGCTTTATATTTTTTTTTATCTGAGCGTCACTGATGAGTCTTATGTAGACGAAACGTGCGTCTGGCGTATTAAATTATAATCCTGGTACCTTTGATAACTATCAATAAATGATAGGATATGATATGAATATGGTTAATGAGACAAGTACCCCCAGGATACAAAATTACGTAAATGTAAGCTACACTAACTCATCAAAGACATATGTATTCAACCAAATACAAAACAATAATAAGGAAAGAAATTAAAGTAAAAATGAACACATAAGCACAGAGGCAAAAATGATTAAAATACAAAATAAAACCAATGGAAAAAGAATATTTGCCTTCAAGTGTATCTCAGAGTAATGAATAATGAAATTAGTGTGTTTTATAGCACCACTAAGCATCAAAATGATGCGAACCTATTCATACGCGCTGTTTCATGTCTGATTGGCAACATGAACTTCTAGAAACGTGTCGAATTACACCAGCCTCAAGGCAATTACAAAGATGTAGGGTAAGGATATATTCTTCTTTTTTGGGGGATTTGCGAAATGTATAAATAAGCATGTGATTTGAAAAGTCCTACAAATTCTAAAAACACACTAACAGCAGGTCTTCGACCGTTTCAAAATTTTTCGAAATACAAAGGATTTTCATATCCCAGGCATAGATTAACTAGTCGTATTTGGCACAACGTTTTGAAATTTTAGTTTCTCAATGCTCTTTAACTTTTTACTTGTTTTAGCTTTCTAAATATTTTTATCTGAGCGTCTGATGAGTCTTATGTAGACGAAACGCGCGTCTGTCGTATCAAATTATAAGCCTGGTACCTTTCATAACTATCAATTAAGATATTGTTATAATAGGGAATGGAAACAGGGAAAGTGTCAAAGAGGCAACAACCAAAACAAAGAGCTGAAAACAGCCCAAGTGCGACTTCAACACAGCGATAAAATCAAGCACCTGCAGGAGGTCTTCAGCTGACGCCTAATCAATATTGTATTTTAGTACAGCAAAATGGATCCCACACTAAACTCTGAAACATGCAAATGAACTTAAATTTTAAAAAACAAAGACTTACAAAGGCTTGAGGTTCCTGACTTAGGAGGCGCAAAAATTTGGATGTGTTAAACATTTTTTGTTCAATTTCCAACCTCTCCTATACCTCTAGCCAATGTGGAAAAAAACAAACACATTCCAAACGCACAGTAAAACTTAGGGTAAGGGTTTTTACTCCAGGAATAGATAACCTTAGCTTTATTTGGCAAACTCTTTGGGAAATTGGGATTCTTGATGCTCTTTAACTGTGTGTTTTATTTGGCCTCTTTGTTTTTTTTTAAATCGATCGTCACTGGTGAGAGATTTTTAAACGAAACGCGTGTCTGGTGTACAAAATTTTTAATCCAGGTAACTATGATAAGTTTATATTTAAGTCATTACTCTGTTGTTTCGCCGTTATCATGTTTTTCTTGTTGACTTTTTCTTTTGCTCTTATATTTTTATGTCCCTTTTGTCTTTACATGACCAATATGTATGTCAAGAAATTCAAATTGGCCTTAGATCTTAACATTGACTTTCGAGATGCGTGTCATGGATCATAGATCATGGATCTAAACAACCCAACTATAAAATATGTATTGTTAAGAAGTGAACATATTAAACAAATAATTTTTGATATTTTAAGGGTAGACAGTTTCTATAAATAGTCAACAAAGTACTTCGTTCGAAATGTATTGGCGTTGCGTAAAGTGGTAACAATCAATTTGATCAAAAAGGTGCGTTAACAAACAAAGTTCAAAGTTTAAAACATGACCTCAAATCTGTGTTATGTCTCATTTCATATTGCATTTAGTACAGAAAGAAACATAAATGCTGATTGTATGATTCACATCAATATTTGTATCGGTATGCATGAAACAAAAGAAAGGGATATGTTTAGTGTTCGATTGAACAGACATAGGTTATGTTTCCAACACACAATATTGGTTAAATATATTTAACAAGTATCTTATTGAAAAATTGTGAAATTCAAGCGACTTTTAAGAAATAAAAGTGAGGGAAGAATAAAAATCGAAATAAATGCGCGAGGCCTTCTCACGGAAAGGTTAAAAGCCCTTCAAATAAAAACAACACACATAAATCAACATGTCGTTTGATACTATAAAAACATTTAAATCATCTTAGTTCTACTATTTCTTTTAACAAACTACACAACAATATTTGAAAAATGGTTATTAAGTACATCTTGATTTTGTATTTACAAAAGAATATAAAAGGCGTTTTATATTCGACCATCAAAACTAGTAAAGCAAGTAGATATAAAACAATGCAAATACAAAACTATACGAGAAATCAAAACAATCAATGAATATACTTCAGACTATAAACTGATGTATATTCCGAACAATTATTGAATCATGATAACAATCGAGGATTCGATTACGTCAGATTTGAATTTCTCCTTTTCTATTATAAATTATGAGCCCTTATGCAAAACTGAATCAATCTTAAGGTTCGTCATAAGGAAATATGTCAACGTTTACAACGCAAATTTTATTATGAAAACAAATATACCCGTGCACCTTAAAAAGCTCTCAGTCTTGGTTTGTCCTAATAATAGAA